CAGTTCAAAGACATTTTGCTACTTGGGTGTTGGCGAGTGATAGTCCCTTTCATCCCGTGTGCCAGTGTCCGCCGGGCACGCGGCTGACAACTGGCTTCGCAACGGTGCGCTCGTTAGCAGTACTTAAGCAAGAAAAAATAGCTGGTAAAAATGATGTTATCATTAATTGTGGCTCTGGGAAAGAAAAACCGGTAGAAGCATTAGGTAGAGGCTGGGGTATACTCATAGTGTTCGCTGCAGCCGCCACTGCGTCTGCTGAGTTTTTCGTCGCTGGAGACTCAACACTCTTAAGAAACAATTACTTAACAAAGTTCAAATTTTAGAAATCCTGTTAGAGGCTGAGGTTTTCAGCAACGCCTCTCAGTCCCATGAAATACTTCAGATAGGGCTGGTACGACAAAATCTACATCTCAACAACACATTGCGTGCTTGAATAACTGAGTAGCTGGCCCAAAAATGGCCACAAAGACTGCTTTTTAGCCTTCATTCATGCTGAAAATGAAAAGATGAAGGCCGAATAACCCTGTTGCTGTGAACTGACGGCGGCGGGGAGCGATGCCCACTGTTTGTAGGGTACGGGTGACGTTAGAACACTGCGCTCCCATTTTGTATAGCTGCGGGTATACAAGACGAACGTGTTCCTTTACTGAATGCAGTGTGTTGGTTGTGCGCTGGCGCCCAACTGCAAACTTGTGGGAGGGCGTGTCCTGCAGATAGGAACCTAGTTCCATGGCGGTGGGGAACGATGCAGAGCGTTTGTGCTACTTATTTGAGGCTACAGTATGTATAGCACTTTACAAAGCTTCACATGAACAAGACGATTTTCTTTCACCTGAAGTATTCTCATTATGCACTAGCGCACTCCAGACTTGGGTGTGCATGAGCCACGGAGAAGTAATGTGGCGATAAAACTAAAATGCTGAGTTGTAGGCCTGCAGAAAGACGAAAATCCTATTCTTCCTTCTTTACTCAAGCACTTTAATTCGGATGAATAGAAAAGGGCTCCATTCACGTCCTCCCTTACTGTAGATCATTGCTGCAGATTATTAATAACTAGCAGTATAACGTGAACAGATGGACATCTTTCTACAACCGAAGTAGTCATATGTGCTCACGAGTATATAAAGAGCTATACCACAGGTGCTCTGTCACCGGGAACTACCACCAGTGAAATTCCGTGAGGCCTAACAACTAACTCCTGATGTCCCTGCTGTATCAAATGAGTATCTTTGTAGCTGCCATGCAACTAACTACTGATGTCCCTGCTCTGTCAAATGGGTATCTTCATACACTGCCACTTTTTCTTAGAGATCGTTTTGTAATGATAATGCAATATCACGGGCCATTTCAAGCATGCGTATATTGGCTTATGTAGTGGACAGGCACTACAATAGGGCTTGCTGGTGACCGATAGAAGATAGCTTGCTGGCGACCTACAAAAGGTCAAAACGCTGAACAAGGGAAGGACCTTCTTACTAGTATCGAAGTAAGGCAATTTATTGGCAGATTGGCATGCATACACTAGACATGTCTGTGAATACCTGGAGATTGGGGCTGGCGATTGCGCCTGCACCGGTGCAGGCGTCCTCCCCACAGGGCCTAGGAGGCAAGAACCCCGCGTGAGGAGACTTTCAAGAAAAATGGATTTAACAACGTGAGAAGATGACTACACTCAATGACGCGTCGCAGGTAGGAAGTTTTTCATAGGCCCCTATTCGTGGGCCAGGTAGCAGCGTAGTCGCAGATGTAGGCGCTGTGCGCTACACTTTATCTCCGCGTGCATGAACAATTTGTGTGCTTTCTTGGGAGCTCATATGTACGTTTAACTAAGGTATGGTGTTGAGATCTGCCTTTGTTGGAGTGCAATGCGTCTCTTTCTAAACCCACACGTTCTCTGCTCAACATACCAGGGCAACTAGTTTGTGTATTTGCTGTTTCTGCCTCCCTGCTATGCGGCACTTTGTCAATCTGAGCGCCTCATAGATGGCGGATTAAATCAGTTGAAGTGCTCGTTGACTGCATTTCCTGACTAAGGGACATTGGATGGGCTACATCAAATTCGAAAGTCTTGAAAGTCAACAGCACATTTTTGGGCGCAGCAATATTTTTGGCCGCGTGGGCCTGCCGACACAGGCCCAAGAAGTTGTTGAAGGACTGTGATTTGGAGCCATAATACTTCTACAAAGTTGTGTCTCTGCCTCTAAATGCGGTACCGAAACTACTACTCCGAAACAATCTCAAGCTACAGGACAGATCTTCAAGAATGGAAGCCGTACTGGTAATACTCAGTCCTTCTGAAGGGGCTCTGAATGACAGTTTTGAAGGGCCAGCACGGAAAAAACCAGGCTTGGCAATGCTCTGATTGCGTAAAAGTGTGAAAATTTGTCTCACCTTTATTTTAATCTCAAAACGTAAACTCCAACGTTTTACTGAATTTTCCGCGGGCTGCTATCGGCACTGAACTTCTTCCGGCCACAGTGCCGATGCTGAGAGCTTGCTTCAACCCGAGTCCGCGAACCCTTCAGCTTTGTTCCTCTGCACTCGCGATAAGGAAAGAATAAATAATATAATATCCTGGAGTTCCGAAGGTTATGCTGCATGATAGGAAGAATGCTGAGCTTACAATTAGAAACACTGCTATTTGCTGGCTCTTAAATATGGCTAGCCGCGGTATTTCAACAAACAGCAGGTAACATAGTCTCGTGCAGACCGAGCTAAAATCTTGCTCATAAAATGCGCTTAATCTCAAAATACTTTAATTACACCTATTGAGGGAAACACGAGAATTCTGAAAGGCACTGAGCGGCAATCTGTCCGTTTTCTAGAGCGTTCTGAAAGAGAAGTCATTTTGCGCATTTGGCTGTGAACTTCTGATCGCGTGCTGGAGCGTTTCTCTTGAGTATTTTGTTGTTCAAGATTTGCGTAACTTGCCGACCATTCATTTTAAAGTTTCGGAAGTTAAGACTTTTATTGAAGCCCTTTGTCGCCCCGAGCCCAAAGTCTTAGGCACAATTACATTAGTGCTGCTCATCCGAACTAACCACGAAATTTGTCTTGGGTGGCTATGCAAAACTGAATAAGGCCCACTACAATACAAAATTTCTACATCATATGCATAGGACAGGGCGTTGAAGCCTGATATAGACCGTGCCCGGTCCGCTGCAGTGGCGGGGTTTGTGTAGTGCGCACGCACTATAGTAGGGCTTGCTGGTGACCTGTAGAGGATAGCTAACTGATGACCTAAAAGCGGTTAAGAGGTTGAGACATGAATTGTGCGCTGTAGCCTCTTACTAACGAAATAGAAATGCAATTTATTAACAAAGTAACATGTATAAACTAGAAATGCCTGCAAATGCCTTAAGATTGGGGCTGCGCACAACGCCGGCACCGGTGCGCGTCACATCCTCACCGGACCAGCAAAGCAAGAACGATAAGAAATGACTTTATGAAACGTGATTTTGAGAACTTGAAACAAAACGGTCTTTTTAATAATTTGGTAGACGATACACGGCCGATGAGTCGGCAGTAGAGAAGATTTCATAGAACGCTCGAGCTGTGGGCTGCGCAGCATCGTGGACCCTACAGAGAACGCAGTGTACTACAGTTTGGGGTTGGCTGCTTCGCAGTTGCGGGCAAGAATTTTGTGCACGCTAGTCGAACAAGCGTTATAAACAAATCTTGATTCTATTTAAGGTATTCGCTGACTTTCCTGGATTTTGAATATAAGTGTTTTGCCTTTAATTAAGCGTTTACTATAGTCGTGTAGGGTGTTGAGAGTGCACACTGGACAGCAGTTGTAGTGAGCAGGCACTACAATAGCGCTTGCTGGTGACCTTAAGAGGATAGCGAGCTGGTGACCTATAAGAGGTTAAGACGCTGAACGGAGACAGGAACGTCTTACTAGTAACGAAGTAAGGCAATCTACTAGCAAATTAGCATGTGTAAACTAGATGTGTCTGTGAATACCCGAAGATTGGGGTTGGCAAAAGCGCCGCCATAGGTGCGGGCCGCCACCCCCCAGGGCCCCAGGGCCAAGGAGGCAAAAACCCTGAGTTGGGGGCTTTCAAGGAAAGTCCATTTCAGAACTGGAAAGATGGCTACTATTATTGATATTTTTGCACTTGTTTCATGAGAGATGCGTCGAAGGTAGAAAACTTTTCGTAGGGCGCCCTACTCGTGGGCCATGTAGCAGCGTAGTCGCAGCTGAAGGTGCTGTGCACTACGTTTGGGGGCTGATCCGGGAGGAAATTTTTTTTTTCCGGACCTGAGAGTAGAAACACTCAGTCTAAATGATTCACACCTAGATATGTTAGCTCGGTAAGGGACGCATTTACACAACGAATGCATTTTCGGCCCCACAAAACAGGAGACATTGACAATATCCGTAAGCAAATTGCCCAACGGGGCGCCGGCTGTAGTGCAGGCACAGTAGGGCTTGCTGGTGACCTATAGAAGATAGCTTGCTGGCGACCTACAAAAGGTCGAAACGCTGAACAAGGGAAGGACCTTCTTACTAGTATCGAAGTAAGGCAATTTATCGGCAGGTTAGCATGCATAAACTAGACGTGTCTGTGAATACCTGGAGATTGGGGCTGGCGATAGCGCCTGCACCGGTGCAGGCCTCCTCCCCACAGGGCCTAGGAGGCAAGAACCCCGGGAGGGGAGACTTTCAGGGAAAATTGATTTAACAACGTGAGAAGATGACTACATTCAATGATATTTTTGTGGTTATTTCATAAGAGATGCGTCGAAGGTAAGAGATTTTTCATAGGTCCCTACTCGTGGGGCAGGTAGCAGCGTAGCCGCAGCATGAGTGCTGTGAACTACATTTGGGGGCTCCTCCGGGATTGAAATCTTTGTTCTTTCCGGACTTGAAAGTAGAAATACTATGTTTTAATGATTCACACCTAGATAACTTCGCTCGGTAAGGGATGCATCTCCGCAACGGACGCGTTATCGGCCCCACACAACGGGAGACTTCTACAATGTCAGTAAGCAAAATGCCGAGCGGCGCACCGGCCCATCATCGTCATGCTACTCCGAAGCCCACCGCGGCAGAACGGCCGCATGCACATAAGGAGGAGCCCCAACAGGTGATACCTATGACGAATGTTATGCCAGGGGACAGTCCCTTCGTCACGTGGGATCAATTCCAGTCCGGTATGAGTGTGATAAGAACTGTTATAGGGGGGACCGGGATATCAGGCGCAGCTTTTCCCATACTACCAGAAGACGGCAGCACTATGCAGGCTTTTCTGCTGCTCATCGAGCGCCGGTACGCCCATATGGGATTGGAGCCGCTCGAGTGGGGAAGCGCACTTATTGACCACCTTGTGGGCCCGTCTCTAACGTATTGGATGTGTCTACGGAGAATTACCGACCTAAGCGACTGGGCGGCAGTACAACGCAGGCTTTTGGAGCGGTTTGACAAAACAATGTCGCAGAGTCAATTGTTAACGGAGTTGGCTAAAGTAGGGCGGAATGGTAACCCGAAGCAATATATGGACCGGTTTGCGGCTGTAGCGGAGCGTGGTTTGGGTGTTGCCGCCGACGAACTCGCTGACTATGCACCGGACTACCGACAGACCTCCATCTTCTAATAACCAATAACGGGCAGGTGAAATATTAGTCGTGGGAGCAAGCGGCGACAGCCGCAGCACGGCTCTACGAGCCCAAGCAGAGTGTGCTGGAACTCCGAGAAGGGACCAGTCGAGCCTTTAGGGCTGCTATACAAGCTAATAGACGCTGTCGGCGCCAGGAAATCGAAAATCGACCTGGGGGAACCCATCCGAACTGCTTTGAGTGTCAGGGTCGAGGACATCCGGTGTAGTGCGCGGCGCCTACTGCTGCGACTACGCTGCTTCCTGCCCCTCTCACAGGTCTACATACTACGCCTAGTATAGCCCCATTTCTCTGTCTCTATAGCGTTATTCCATCGAAATACGACAATTCTAAAAGTCTTTCAAATATGTCTCCTCGATTCGCCCCCTTCTCGGAGCTCACCTCCTAGGCCCTATGGGGAGGAGGTCCGCATTGGTGCCGGCGCTTTCGCCAGCCCCAGTCTCCACACAATTTCCGCACATTTCACGTATTCATTAGAACTAATAGACGATTTTTCTTATTTTTATCCCCTCGGGAGGGTTCTGTCCTCCTCCAGTGTCGCGACCCCTTGTAAGTTGCTAGCTAGCTATCATCTCTAGAACACAAGCCAACCCCATTGTAGTGCCTGTGCACTACATCCGGCACGTGTCTGCCCCAGCAAAGGGAAACGTACCAAACGTCCGGGGGAAACATGCAAGAAGTGTGGCGGTGTGGGACACTATGCTCGGGACTGTCCTACTTATGAACGAGGCCGCCCCGAGCCGGCGGACAAAAGCAGTAAGGAGCCCACCCATCCTAGCACTGAGAGAACGGAGCAATTATATTAGGGGCTCAGCCGCTTTCCGAAACGCTGTGGAAGTCTGGGTCGGCGTCAATTCTGAGTGAAGAGGCTCCAGGAGCGGCGACGGATAGCAGCAGGAAGTCTGCAGAGGCAACAGAAGACGGCTCTAGGCCAGACGCAACAGAGGTTGTCCCACACTGGTGGCGGGAAACTTGCACGAAAGAGCCTTACGACCAAGGGGAAGCATTGTGTTATGTGGGTGCGACGGTGGTACTTCGCATTGAGCTCGCAAGGAGTCCTTGTGGGGCCCTCTTGGACACTGGGGCTTCGAGAAGTTTCATTAGTCCTAAAACAGTCGAGCGACTGGAGCTGAAGGTGCGGAGACTTCCAGAAGAGTATAGGTTCACCGTAGCTACAGGTGCACAATTGCGCATTGATCGGGTTGTAACGGGATTGACGATACGGTGAGGACATGCACGTTTTTCCGGGGACGTTTTAGTGGGAACCGTTCCCTATGACTTAGTGCTGTCTTTGGATCGGCTGACGGAACATACCGTGGCCTGGTACTTCCAGTCTGACAAACTTCGAACCTATGTGAATGGCCAGTAGTGCGAGTTACCGGTCGTTAGGACTGGTGAAGCAAAGCTGCAAGGTGACGGTCCCAACGTAGTCCACCCAAGGACCCCGGAGGAGCAGGCATATGAGATGTTGGCCAAACAAGTGGCCAGCCGAGGAGGCAGCTATTCCTACGCCTGCCACCAAGGAGGTATAAGTCCCACGCTAAGACTAAGGCGAAGGCGCGGATAACGTCGCTCGTTCGTCAGGCGGCGGACGACACTAATGATCTCAGGACTCCATTGCACGGTTTGCATCTCATACTGGCTTTGCCCGAAGCTTGTTCAGCAGTGCCCTTAAGGCTCTCGGATGAATGGCAAGGCGCGCTTTGTTGCGCGTTGATAGGGAGTCAACCCACGTCCTCCGGCTGCCGTAATCCTTTGGCCTCAACCGCCTCGGTGGCAGCGGAGAGTGACGAGGAGTCTCCCTGGCCTATGGCAAAACTCGAGCACACTCTATTCGACGAATGGATAAATTCGACAGAGGCGCAGCACACTCTATTCGACGAATGGATAAATTCGACAGAGGCGCAGGATATTCCATGTGAGGTTGCCCAGGTGTTGCACGAGTATCGGGCGGTTTTTCCCGATACCTTACCTAAAGGCTTACCTCCGAAGCGCCCTCATGATCATCATATTATCCTGGCGCCTGGAAAACTCCCAGAGAGATCTGCAATCTACCGTATAACCCCAGATCAGCTCACTTTCCACAAACAGGAGATAACTAAATTATCGGATAGTGGTTGGATCGGACCGACCTATTCGCCTATGTGCTCTCCTACGATCATGGTGGACAAACGTGATGATGGCTCCGGGGAGCGGAAGATGCGTATGGTTGTTAATCACCAGGCTCTAAATGCCCTTACGATAGCCCCTGATTTTCCACCACCTCCCATTCAAACCATTCTGGAGCTGCTGGGAGGCGCCAAGTATTTTTCCACTTTGGATCTTGAAGCAGATTCCATCAAATACGTATGGCTAAGGAAGACCGGTGGAAGACGGCTTTCTGGTCCGTTCTCGGACTATTCGAGTACCGCGTGATGCCCTTCGGCCTTAAGGGTGCTCCCGCTACGTTCCAGGCCAATATTAATGCCTACCTACAACCTTTATTGCCCCAGGGCGTTATTGCGTACCTAGATGATGTACTTATCTATAGTTCTGATCTCTCTGGGCACGTCTCTCTTCGACGACAAGTCCTAAGCACTTTTCTTCGACACCAGTTCTACCCAAAATGCCGCAAATGTAATTTTGCACGGCAAACAATTACATATTTGGGTTATACTGTTTCTGCTAGGGGGATCAAACCCGCAGAAGACAAAATCGCAGCCATCCGGCATTGGCCAGAGGTGCTGGAGAACAAAGCGCAAGTGCGCCAGTTCCTCGGTACCATAAACTACTGTCGCATGTTCATGGGACCGGACTATGCAAACGTCGCCCGGCCGCTGGTTGATCTTACGCGTAAAGACGTTAATTTCAAATGGACAGAGCTTCACACGCAAGCGGTGCGGCAGCTCAAACAGCGCTTAATCGGCTTTACTATATTGCAAGTCCCTGACACGACGAAACCCTTCGAGTTATACACAGATGCCTCTGGTTATGCAATCGGAGCAGTCTCGAACAAGACGGTAAACCCATCGGCTTCCTCAGCCAAGTCATGAACCCCACGCAACAGAAATACTCGATCTACGACCAGGAACTCTTGGCGTTGGTCACGGTACTGGGCAAGTGGTCACGCTTGCTTCTTGTTTCCAAGGTAACTGCTTACACTGATCATCAAGCTGTCACCCATCTCCAACGACTCCAAGCATAGAAGCCTCTGCGCGGACGCACCGCCCAGTGGCTAGACTTTCTTGCCGAGTTCCCGGATTTGCAGATCACGTATGTTTAAGGAGCGCGAACTCAAGTGGTTGATACCTTGTCTCGGCGTCCCGGTTTTCCTAACACCTGCTCGCACGACACACCATCGACACCACTGATGCTCGCAGTAGGACAAGCGCGCGCGGCTCCCCGCTCTCGTGGTCGGCCTGCCAACTACAGGGAGCTTGCCGGAATTCGTTCGCGACGACCCAGACGACGCAGCCTGCCCTCCGCACCTTCACCCCCGCCGCCCGAACCCAATCCAGAGGCGGAACATCCTACACTCACAATGAAGACACCAGCTGACCGTCCTGATGTCCGCCAATGCGCGCACGCTTACTCGAAGTGTCCCGTTTTTCGCGTTCCCTACAAAGCCGCAGCAAACCAACCAGGAGAAGCTCTGCAAATAGAGTTTCGTAAACGCCATTTCACCTTTCGCTACGTGCAGCCTTACCTGCATAGCCGCGTTCATGGACTGTGGCGCATCTGCGTCCCATAATTCCCCGAGTTCCTTACTCAAGTTCTGCATTCACATCTCGACCATGTCACAGCCGACCGTCGAGGCCAGAAAAAGACCTTTGCGGCTCTCAGCAAGCATTACTACTGGCCAGGAATGCGCGCCTACACTACTGCTTATGTTGAGTCATGCATTCAATGTCGAGCGTCAAAGTCTCTTAACCAGAAGCCTGCAGGCCTTCTTCAATAGTTTCTCATCCCTTCTCGTCGGTGGGCGCACGTGAGTCTTGATTTTATCACAGATCTTCCCCTTACAACGACAGGGCACGACTCGATTCTTGTCATAGTCGACTCCCTCAGCAAGATGGCTCATTTCGTTCCTGCCAAAAAGTCATCCACAGCAGCAGACACCGTGGAGCTTCTCGCAGACCGTCTTTTCCGCTACCACGGTTTTCCAGAGGTGCTCATATCGGACCGCGACCCCCGTTTCCAGTCGGATCTCTGGAACCAACTCTGTCGCCGCTTTAACATCAAACGGTGCATGTCCTCGTCCTACCATCCCCAAAGCGACGGCCACACTGAACGGGTTAACCGCACACTGGAGCAGATGCTTCGTATCTATATGAAGTCTGGCGAACGCGAGTGGGAGCGTTTGCTTCCGGCCTTGGAACTTGCTTACAACACAACAAGTCATTCATCCACTGAGCTCTCTCCTTTCGAGGTCATGATTGGCGATAATTTGTTGATATCATAGGCGCGTTAGCTCCTACGCTCACTCCTCTGATGACTAAGCTTTTCCGGTAGCTCTGCGATAGAGCACAGAGTCACATCCTGAAGGCAAAATGGCAGCAGAAGTACTACGCAGACACAAAGCACCGAGCAGTGGAGTATGCAGTGGGAGACAAGGTCTGGCTCAGTAGCAATCACCTACCGCCTTTCAACAGCTGCCCTAAGTTCAAGCCCCGTTACCGCGGACCCTTTGAAGTAATCAAACGCATACGGACCGTCGCTTACCGTCTCGCTCTGCCTCCCACCTACGCATACCACGACGTTTCAAACGTTCCGCAGCTAGTTCCCCACCTGTAGTGCGCAGTCACTACAATGGGGCTTGCTGGTGACCTATAGAGGACAGCTAACTGATGACCTACAAGCGGTTGAGAGGTTGAGACGCGGATTGAGCGCTTTAACCTTTTACTAGTGAAATAGAAATGCAATTTATAACAAATGAACATGTAAAAACTAGAAATGCCTGCGAATGCTCTAAGATTGGGGCTGCCCACAACGCCGGCATCGGTGCGCATCACATCCTCACCGGACCAGCAAAGCAAGAACGATAAGAAACGTCAGATACGAGAAATATGGGTTGGAAGATTTGAAACAAAACGAACTTTTTAGTAAATTAGTAGATATTACGCTACAGATGCGTCAGTAGTAGAGAAGATTACACTGGTCAGCAGAGTTCGGTTGTGCAGCAACGTAGACGCTGTTGAGAGCGCCAGTACTACACCACCTTCGCCGACCTCCCGATTTGGTTCTCCCGGAAGCCGACGCCGCCTGGCCTCCTAGCCGCAGTGCGACAGGCAATCCAACAGAGGAATATGAAGTCGATTATGTTATGGACCAACGCAGCTCGGGAGATGCAGCCCAGTACCTCGTGAAGTGGCGCGGGACCCCTGAAGATCACGCCACATGAGAGCCAGCTCACCACCTTACAGGCTGCCCGGCTTTGCTTCGCGCGTGGCGCCGCCGCCAACGAAGACGTCTTCAGGCTCGAAAGAATCTTGGTCCTTCCAAGGCGTAGAGGTTTGGGTCCGTCACCTTCCGCCGCCTGCATGACGGGCAACTTCAACGAGGAGGGGGGAGGGAGCGCTGCGCACCGCATGCGCTCACAGCGTTAGCTTCAGAAGATAATAGAGATTGAAAAAGCAAAAATAATGTGTTTGGGTAGGTCTGTTGAGTCCGGCAAGGGGGGAAGTTGTGGTGCACAGGCACTACAATAGGGATTCCTGGTGACCTATAGAAGATAGCTGGCTAGCGACTGACAAGAGGTCGTAACACTTAAGGAGGACAGGACCCTCTTACTAGGATCAAAGTAAAGCAATTTATCTGTGAATTAACATGCATACACTAGAGGTGCCTGTAAATACGTGGAGACTGGGGCTGGCGATAGCGCCGGCACCGGTGCAGGCATCCTCTGTAGCGCGCCCGTATGCTGCTACCTGCCCCCTCGAGCAGGGGCCTATGATCAGCACCTAACGGTGACCCATTTCCCATATATATACGAAATACAGTTATTCTTAGTTTCCCCAAAATCTGTTGTCATCAAATCCGCCCCACTTGGGGTGCTCGCCTCCTAGGCCCTGTGGGGAGGAGGCCTGCACTGGTGCCGGCGCTATCGCCAGCCCCAGTCTCCACGCATTTACAGGCACCTCTAGTGTATGCATGTTAATTCGCAGACAAATTGTCTTCGATCCTAGTAAGAGGGTCCTGTCCTCGTTCAGTGCTACGACCTCTTGTAGATCGCTAGCTAGCTATCTTCTATAGGTTACCAGCAAGCCCTATTGTAGTGCCTGTGCACTACATTGCTGGTGACTTATAGGATAGCTGACTGATGACCTATAAGTGGTTAAGAGGTTGAGACGCGGATTGAGGGCTGTAACCTCTTACTAATGAAAGAGAAAAGTAATTTATCAGCAATTAACATGTATAAACTAGAAATGCCTGCGAATGCTGTAAGGTTGAGGCTACCGACAACGCCAAAACCGGTGCGCGTTACATCCTCATCGGACCAACAAAGCAAGAACCATGAGGAGTGACATTTAGGAAATGTGGGTTTTTCATAACTTGAAACAAAACGGTCTTTTAATTGATTGGTAGACGTTACGCGACCGATGCGTCTGTAGTCGAGAAGATTTCATAGAACTCCTGAGTTGTGGGCCGTGCAGCATCGTAGTCGCTGTGGAGAACGCGATGTACTACAACTGATTTGTGTTGGGCATGAGGCTTCACGCCTCATGGAAAGCGCCAGGGCTTGGACCTAATACAGTCTCAGCCCCCAGTCCTTACAGAGAAACCCACTGAATTTCTTTGCATCTGTAGAATGCCCCTACGTACTCTACTAATTTTTTACATATTCATCCAAACAGAAACGTAGCCCACAAGTTGCATGATTACACTCGGCACACCCACTTTCAGGCATTGAAAACCTAATCAAGCTTTTACACACGATATATGAATTGGCAAAAAGAACTCTCAAATGCCTATCTTCCCTTTACTACAAAAGCTTATGCGCAGAACAAGGAATACTGCCGGCAGACTGCATAATTTATCTTGTTTGTACTGAAATTCACTTCACGTACCGTGGATCATCTACACTCTTGTTCCATAGCCAGCGTCTTATTTTGTTCATATTCTACCTGAAGCTGCGCATCTTGGTATCTTAGCTCTTTGCATGCGCTTCTTGAAACCGTACTATTAATGCAAACGTTAGAAATTCGCTTCGGTGCACGGTCTGAGCTGTGAACAGCTCAGTGATGCGCCACGCCACAGGCCACCACGTGAAGGTGAGGTGAGTGGATAACCGTACTGTTGCACATTCAATTTCGCGCATATTCAGCATAGAAGTCACACTATAACACAACCACCACTTTAGGCAAACGCACATACACGCGCACACACATAAGTTATTTCGGGTCTTTATTATATTACCAACCTAACTACGAACAACGGCTCGTGAGGCAAACTAAAAATTGAAGTATTTTTCATATAAAAACAAGTTATAACTTCAAAAAACAGTGCCATACTTAGCCACGTCTACTTACTCATTACGGCTTGAATAATATGAAGAAGTAAGCAAAAGAATATGTGGGACAGGAAAAAGAAAATGTGCTCACGTAAAACAAATAAGTAAAAGAAATTAAATGAAATGCATTGACAGCCTTGACACTTAGGGCGGGAATGAACATCGGCTCACATACGTGGCAGCTGCATACAAATTTTGCGCAGGCGGTGCAAATGATTAAGCATCGTGACGCAGTATGATGCATTCTACCAAACATGTTTGTCCATAACGTTGAATTCGTTTATTAGGCGTGGTCAGGTGGATGCAGCTGTCTTGGTGCGTCAGGGAACTTTACAAGAGCCGCAAGCACAGCAGCAGAGCGGCAAATAACACAGCAGCAGACGCAGCAACAACAGCACCTTTGGTGGAAACGAAATCAGCAACAGCAGCAACTGCAAATACAAGAGAATTTTTCAGAGCAAAAAGACTCTAGACAATTAAGGCAACAACTTTGGCAATCGTTCGGACAGTTGCACCAGACAGAGCACCATCTGGTACAGCAACCACAACGACCTCCACATATGCGAGCAATAGCAGGACAGCAAGAAGAGATAACTAGTAAGCAAAATGTGGTGCAGGAGATGAAGCTGCAGTACTCAACACAGCAGGAACAGCCGCTAGGACTGTTGCACTGGGAATAGCAGCCGAGGCAACCGCAGCTAACACACGATAGCAGCCTGTGGACAGGAGCGAAAAGCAACAGATGCAGTAGCAAAAGCTGTGGGGAAAAGCTTTGAGAAACAAAAGGAGCAGACCCAACATCGACGGCAGTCGCAATTGCTACAGCAGCAAAGAAAGGAAACAGCATCAATTGCAGCAATGCTGTTGCCTTGCGAAACTCTGCTTGGCTTTCCTTTGAGTTTTTTTAATGTTCTTGGAAAGTAACTCAAATCTTCTCCGACCCATTCAAGGTACAAATTATCTGCGTATTGTGCATGAGATAGAGCTGTAACGGTGGGTAAGCCTTGCGTTATCTGCTGTGTGGACGCGCTGTGAAGCTGCCAACGACTCTGTAGAGAGATCCTTTGGACTCAACAGGGACGGGCAATTATGAGAGTTCAGTTCTGGTAAACTGTTCAGTACATCTCCCCGCTCTGAAAATCTAAATCTTTCGCAGCCGCTTAAATAGTTGTTGTAGTCTTGTACGCTTTTCAAACGTGGACTTAAAGTATTAAATTGCTGCTATTGTTGTCATTGGTCCGCCTTCAGAAAGAGATAATTCGGTAGCCTCCCGGCGTTCGTATGGCAGCTGCCTCTCCAAAGCACTGATGTGCTTGTGTGCTGGAACAACCGGGTTTCTTCAGTCAAACTAGCTCTATTACCATTACTCTCTATAGCACATTTTTTTTGAACCTTTGAAGGCTGCTCCTGAGGAACACTGTAGCGCTGTGCACTACCAGCGTGTTACACTCAGGAACTCTTGCAAGGCAGCCACAAGTCCTAGTTGTAAATACATCCTGAGCGGGTATATACTACATACTTGTGTTTCTACACTTCGAGTTAGAGAATTTAGTTGGGGTTTGTCTGAGATGGCTTTACTTGTACTTTCCGGCAGTCATCCAACTGATTTCAAGAAGCAACAGAACATCAAACTTTCGGAAACAAAAGAGCCGCAGAAAGGCAGGTTTGAAAACCCTTCTTTAACGACTTGGTACTGAAACTCAGGGGAACATCTTCTCCATGAAACGAATGAGACAGCTATGCCGTAGATACTGAGAACTGCCGATAGCGTACTCCCCGTCTCTTACAGAAACAACCAAGATATATTTGCTTTCCGGTATAGCGCCAACTACTCTATGCTCTCTCTTGCTACGTGGCCACACCAGTAGGAAGACGAGGAAATGGCTGGCCACTTAAGGTTCTGCTCCCTAGCTAGTTATTTGTCCTCGTCTCCTGGCTGTTCATAGAAACGCAGTACAGCATTTCACACTTTTCCACCAGTCTGTCGCGCACAACGTACGCTTCATACGGAGATATATCTGAATCAAAGTTTAGCCTTAGCCCCTAGTCCTGACATAGTAAGCACTTGTGAAATTTTGACATATCATGAATGCATGCAGAGACTTCTGTTGACTCTCTGTGCCAAGACCCGGCGCGACGGCAGTTCCCACTGCGCTGAAGGCATCTTCGTATGTAGAGCATTCCTGGCATTTCTTGAGGGCTTCTAGTGATGTAGGTGACGAGGATATTCACCCTACAAGAGGTCGTGCTAACTAAGGAATCTCTCTGCGCCTATGTGCAGAACATAGTTGATCTGCGAACAGCTTGACAGTAGCTTTTGGAGGTCTCCCACGCTTAATTACAGGCTTGTCAAAATTTCACAAGTGCTTACTATGTCAGGACTAGGGGCTAAGGCTAAATTTTGATTCAGATGAGTACTGGGCTGCGAAATCACTAATGCGAGCAGGCAGGCATCTCCGTATGCTCCCATTATTGATTTTGTCGCGCCGAATCTTAGCACAGAGAATCAACAGAAGTCTCTGAATGCATTCCTGATTTCTCTATAGAAGTGTAAGGCTTTGGGGTTTAGCATCACCCAAACCTATAGGCAGCCCATAGATAGAATCAACGGCTGTGTTCAAGCACCACAAACTATCCGTATAAAAGCTCTCCAGTAAACTGTATAGAGAATGATTTCTTTTGTAGGCCCCGGCCAAAGAATGGAATTAAGTGGTGAACTGCATGGACAACAGAGAGCCTCACTCCTGTGGTCTAGAGGCGCTCACCTAATAAAGTATGGTTAAACGTAGTAGGGGATGCAGAAAATGACCCTCTGGAAACGCGTTTAGAGGTAAACTGTGCAGTTTAGTGCTGTCGGATTAGTGGAAGAACTAAATTAGTTGCTCATCTCGTTCATCGAGCCAGACTTCGAAGGGCCTGATCATTGCGCACTCAATTATTCAAATATATCCTCAAGTCATTATTCCGTAGACACTGCAGATATTTGTTAGTGCAGAAGCCTCGCTAGCAGCAGTCGTTTTAGCCTTCGCTGCGACGTTGCGCTCTTCCGTCCCGCCGCTCCTTTCGGGGCCCTGTCTTGGTCGCGTGCCCACTTTTTCTGCTGCTTTCCTACCATTAGGACGGCTTAAAGCCAAATTTTATAAGTGATGTCATATTTTGTGAGTTAGAACTCGCTGAGCTCCGGTTGAAGTTGTTTGACACCTTCCGGGTGTCTTCGAACAGCGATTGACGGCTCATCTGCAAGAAGATGGCGGTGAGCTAACAGAGCGACCCACAAGTAACATTAATTCGACATCCACAGGTCCCTTTATATTTATATAAATACTCCTCATGAAGAATGACGAACATTGGGCATCGGGACGGCGACGTCGCCGCCGTGCCCTCAACTCTTCACGGAGACACGGAAGCCCCTGAACTTTTTCTTTAACAGCGCGAAAATCTGCCACTCATGCACAGCCGAAGGATATATTCCGTTCACTTTGCTGCGCTATCCCTTTTTGTCCATTCCGTGTTCGTCTTACTGTGCCGTCGAACCGGTCCACTTTGTGACACCGTTCCTCAGGGACATGGAGGGGGTTTGGTGATGTATCTCTCGTGTTTTTTGGGCCGCCTTTTTTTCCTGCTTTTTTATATTTGTTTCAGGGGACAAACAGAAAATACTCTAAGAAGATTGAAGCGTTTGATCGGAGCATTACGAAAAGGGGCCATGCCCCCGAGAGCCGACACAAGAAGGGGAAAGGATATCCAGTGGGCCCCATCGTCCTGGGAGTTTTTCTTTTCGTAGTTGTTGGATCTGCGATTATTCAAATAATTAGCTCAGCACAGAGAGGGTCTCCTCTTACCTAAATTGCCGTCCTAAAGTGTCATTTTGCTCCCACAGTGGTACGGGTGTTTGCGTGTGTTGCGATCGCGTCTAAGGCGAAATGCAACGCTTGCATAGTGTATGCCTCATACTGCATGTGGACAGTTCAGTCATGAGTCTTTCGGGGCTCAAGAGTTAGGTCTCATTTGACACTGCTTATCGAGCACCGCGTTGTGCTGATAAACTATTTTTGAATGTTGTAGAGCTGCATAATAAATTAGAGCATTAGTGACAATTTGATCATTTTCCGGCTGCACGCCAAGCGCAACGGAGCCCCAAATAGATGTAATGGAGTCCCCAACAATGGATGCAAAAAGCAGCACACGCAATTTTGGGGTGTCGGCTGTGCATGGCTGTTTGTTATTGCGCCATTGTGGGAGGTAGGCGAGTCAAAGTAAGGGAAGCATGTCTGCGTAGATTTAATGACAAAGGACGAATCTCTCTTTGCATTTTTGTCCCTTTCTCCCTGCACTGTGCGGGGAACTAAATTCTAAAACGAAAACCCCGGGGTCGGGGGGCATGCAGGGTGCATGCTTACGACGTAGTGCACACCAAGTAGTCGCTGCGTGCCTCTAGAGGCTGTGCTTTTATCTCATTCGTGGAACTGGGTACGCTGTGCATCAAGGAGGAGCTCTCGCAGGCAGGCGGGTGCGTGCACTTTTGTTAGAGGGTTTTCGTCAACCACTGAGGACACAAGCACATTCATCACTGGCAGATAAACAGACAAAAGCAGACGTTTTGGCAGGGGAGTACAACTAGCATGGTGAGTAAAGGAAGCTGCGGCAATGAACACACGGAAGGGTGGTGCTTTTGTCAGATAGGTGGTCAGCCATGTAAATATGTAAGTATATGCGAATACAAATGTCTCCATATACTCTGCTGTCCCTTTTCTCACCTGGGGGCTGTACGGACTCAACTAGGAAGCAGTACATGAAGGTGTCCGCGACGATGTCCCACACAGACAGGAAGTGCATGCCTATCATAAAGCTGGTAGCTGCTGTAAATATTGAGACGCACAGCGGAGCCGCCACGAAAAAAGGCGACGTAATGGATGAGTACTTTTCCGTGGCAGTTAGTGTCTAGCCAAAATCACAAAGAGGCACAGGAACGCAGTGTTCAATGATAACAGAAGAACGACAAGGCGGCCAGCCAGGGTCCTTCAACTGCCAGCAGGAGCTGCTGTGGGTAACTTACCGAGTACACCATAATACCAATAAGGAAAGAAATGAAGGACGAGCCTATTGCGGAAGGAGTCGAAACCACCTAGCGAGAGACAAACATAGCCATGACGGCAACACGCGTGTGTGGCACGAAAGCAGAGAAGAACCAGTCAACGCTTCATCTCTTGTTAAAAGAGTCTAATATTCCTTGCTGCTTGGGGTTTTATTACATTGCGATTGCGCGGAAGCTTACCCCGTGCAGATAAGTCGCAGGAGATCTCGCCTGACTTAACCGTGCGTAGGACTTGTCCATCGCAGGGAAGAACGGATTAGAGGATATCGACATCTGAAGACAAGGAGGGATGTCACAAAAATAACGAATGGGAGCCATCATCATTTTACTTTGAAACTATTTGCGCATCGTGGGCATTTTTTCGTCACACGCTGCTGCGTTCTGGAAAATAGTAGCAGTTACTAACCTCTATATAACCTGACGAGGTGAACCTGTCGACGATGTAGGTTAGCGGGCTCATGATACTTCCTGTGGCGCACGAGCCGTCCCATAACCTCTCAGCATTCGCTTTAGCGATAATCGTTTACGACACTGCCTTAATGGGGCGCAGTGGCTGCGTTAAGGCGAGCAGTAGTTGCAGGTTTTTTATTGCAGAGCTCACTGAAAGTGTTCCTGAGGCTATGTACGACAGGCGAGTCCTCTGTTGAGGCAAGATGCTTGGTAGCTGCCCAAGGGAACAGAAGCCGAATTGGTCGGGTTGCACCCATCACCAACCCTCCCACAGCGAAACTCCCCATATGGTGAATCGAGCCTAGACCCATCGCTACAAGGGGTGGGAACCATCCGACGTCGCGCTCGTCTGCGCCTTCTGGGGGAGAGAAGTACCAGACAGTCGCCGAGTAAGATATGACAAAGTGTGCGAATGCCATCATTGCCTCAATTACCCAGAACAACGCAAACCACCAAAGAGCCCCGAAGAACACAAAGCGAACATCCCAGACAAACTCGCGATGCAAAGGGAGGATGCCAATGTCGCCGTTCTGCTCCAAGCCCATTGGAATCTGAGGCGTGCATGACAAGAGTAGTAAGAACTGAGAACGATTAGCAAGGAGACAGTGCGACATTGATCACAATAATGCGACCTCGATCACGACGTTCACACATCAGGGCTGTATGTGGCTACTTCATATCACGCAGTGAAGCCATTCGTTTCACACCTCTGTCGCTCCAGCGCTTCCAGCAGACGCCATATATACATAGGACCAGAGCCACAGCCAGACCCAGACGATAGTGGCTGCGTCAGGAACACAAGGATACAAGCCTTTTATCGTGTTGAAAAATTCTGGACACGTTGAATTATTCAGAGGTGAATTTTCAGTGTGCACCAGTGGTTTGTTCTTGAGTACTGTTTGCATCATTCTGCAGTAACTGCAGTAAAAGTACCAGCGGAGAAGGAGAGGGGAGCGATGAAGATCTGCTGCATATCTCCTAGCGCTTCTGCAATGCAATCCATTACTCGAAGGGAGGTGGCAACAGCCTTTCGCGCTACGAAAAGGGCCGTCATGAGAAAGCAACTGATGCCCAGTAAGGCAAAACCACACTGCGCCGTAGACACACAACGAGAAAGAAAGAAGAAGCCTTGTCAGAGCCCACGCAAACGCCCATGACAACAGACGAGAAAGCATACCAGGGCTATCAAAATGCTCATGTTCAGTACGGAAGTACAGGTACACTCCGCAGAGACAGAGAGGAAAGCGAATGAGATTGAAGAGAAAAGAAGACTGAGAATCATGAAGCAGATGATACAGCCGAAAACAAGCAGGAGCAGGAAGACTGGGAATCATGAAGCAGATGATACAGCCGAAAACAAGCAGGAGCTGTAGGCTGCAGCGGAGGGACACAGAAAGGAGGCAACGTACAAACATTGCTAGGGTGTAATCGAGAGAGTAGAAGCTCCCTTTGTCCTGGTCGAGAACCCCAGTAAATCCGCTCTTGATAAGGAGGCCCCCAGCTGCGAATGATAGTACGATGCTGCTGATTGCTGCGCTTCCCAGGACGAGTCCTGGAGACAGCCTAATAGATGCCGAAAAGGCGAGAGAGGTGAAAACAGCGAAAATCAAATAGCCAAAGATTGTTCCCCACGCGCTGTAGAAGGATCCAATGGCCAGCTGCACCTGCCTGAACGTATTGTTCAAAGCGGGTGAAAGCTGGGAGCGCAACGACGGGTCCAGAGGTATGCAATAAGCATCTGCCATAAGAGTAGCTGCGTAGGCTGGCGAGAGCAGCAAGTACTCAACTGTCATTGCAGAGGTCTTTGAGGGATCGATACTTGTCTCGCGAATCGGAGTTGGAATGGTGAGCCCGCCCTCCACATCCTCTTCAGTGGGGCATTTGGCGACACAACGACCGTCGTTTAACATGATAGACGCGAAAGACTCGCGAGGGTCCAATGGGAAATATAAGTACGGCAGATCTCGAACCTCCGGGTCCACCCCGCATGTCTTTCCCTGGTAGTTCATCCCCTTAAAAAGACGCGAAGGGCTTCCCTCGGTAAGTGCAAGCACCACAAAAAACAAGCAAAAAAGTAGAAAAGCAGAAAATGCTCCCAGCCAGTTTTGATCCGTCACACGCCGTTTCGGCTCAGCGTCGGAAGCCATCACAGGGCCTATACGGGGCGGGTCCGAAGTTGAATACGCTGTCTCATGAGCAGAAACCCCTAAATTCATAAATTGGGCGCACAGGGAACAAGACCTTTCTACTAATTATCATATGTACTTATTTACATATGTACGCAGATAACCCCCCCCCCCCCCCCAATAATTCCCTTGTTGCTCATCTTGAATGCGGAAAAAACCAAAGTTCAGTCTTTTATTTCAAAAATGAGGTGGGACGATCGAAGGTGCTCTGTTAGTGCTGTCGCTGCAAAGCGGGTTACTTCTTGATTAATCCTGTACAGACCTGGGATGCTGGTATGGCCTTCATTTCGGTGAAAAGATGAAGTCACATAGCCCTGTGGAGGCATTCCAAAAGGAGGAGAGGAATACATATCTGAGGAACCGGGTTGTTGCATCTTTGCTGAGAATACATACAGAACAGGCGTACGCTCAGTGGCATTCACTAGTGGCAGCCCATCCCATAACCTTCGCAACAACCACAGACTGAAGGAGCCGTTAAGCTTTAAATGCATATCAAGTAGGTTGCCCGAAAACGAAAATCGCTTGCGGACATCAAAGTGCTACAGGCGTGCACAAGTGGGCAATAGCACAGCAGCGAAGACGGATGCAATCAAACAGCCACGGGAAGCTTTACGAGTTTTAAGCCCCTATTGCTGAGCCAATAGTGCGAGACGGGACAAACCGGCTGAACCCGTGTAAGAAAATAGCTTGTCTGCTGCGAATTTGGCAAACATGAACTGGTATTGCACTTCGGCATTTCAGCTCGATGGGCCCCCCTGAATCCTGGACAATGCTCCCCAAATACCACTGTATTTCTTCTCAATACTCTCTCAGCCCCTTAAAATTGACAAGTTCGACTTAGCGGACCTTCAAAGGATCCCCGAAACAGAATTTTTCTGATTGTGGAGTGAAGCCTTGACGGTGGCTGTCGGCCGCGCCTTCCAGGTTGCCGCGCCCTCGAGCACGCGAGGGGAAAACGGATCCTAATTCTCAGGCAGATCAATCTCTTGACAATCCAGCTTTACCAATAAAGTCAAATAATTTGGTATAATGCCACCACTGAGGGAACGTCGTTCAGTCGGCGGCGACCTGGTAGGACCGGACGGCATCAAGTCCGCTAGCCCGCAAATGGAAGTGAACTGGCCGCAATAGGAGGCTTCTGTTATTTGTAGTTTCCCAATTGGAAGGCTCTCGAGTTGTAAAGTAATAATATTCTAATATTACGAAGGATTCAGGGCGTCGCCCGAAGAGGAGTCGTTCCTTTTCTCGCACTGCGGTCTTGGTTTGTGTCTAGCGATGGCCAGTGTTAAACCACCAAAGTGAGGCTTGGACAAAGGAATGCAAGAGCCGTAATCCCTTTCTTTCAATGAATTTACTTCTGATAAAGCTTGATTTTCTCTCATTCATTTGTTTCGAACCCCTCTAACTGCAAACGACCGACGCTCTCCTCCTCTGGCTGTGTATGGGCTCTTTATTTTAAGAAGGAGCTTACCCCTCTTCAGAAGCGTTCTGCTACCACCACCGCACAAAAACCACTCAATGTTTCTACAATCAAATATTTCACGGCTTGTCACCTGTGGCTCCTGATCTGTGGCTCCTCCCTCCTCTCGTTTGTTCTACAAGATATTAATGGGCTCCTTCGAAATAAAGCAGATCGCATGCACTTGAATCTCCATTGCCTTCAAGCAAGTCCGCTTTTTTTTAAAGCTGCTTCTGACGCTCCTGTCCATTTAAGAACGCGGCGAAAGGCTGCGTACCTGCATCTTTCCCGCTTAGTCTAATCCATGCCGGATAGCCAAGCGTTGTACCAAGGCTTTCTCACTAAGTTTTGCATATGTAAGCAAGGCATTAATCCCTTTTCTAAAGATGGTCAGTGTCTGCCTGATGAGTATCGCCGGAAAGTAGCCTTCCTACGGCATGCCGTTCAACTGGCTCACGAATCGTAGACCGAAGAGCATGACAGGTATCTCCGCAGCAGTCCCGATCCAGCGAGATACCAAGCCAGCTTGAGCTGTCTTAGGCTGCGTCTCTTCACTCCCCAGGCTCCCCCTTTTTGCTGGGCACAGCAAAGCCCGCTCCGTAATTCACATCTGGTTTTGGTGAAAGCTGGCGTTCGTTCTAGTAAATATTCACTGCTCTTTCATCACAGCTTCCACTGACGTTGCTGCAACGTCAGTTCGCTTCCTCCCGTTGCCATTTTGGGCCCTTCTTCCTCCAATTTCATGAACACTTGATTGCAATACGACCTGGGCACGACCAGAAGCTTTGCAGAGCACGTCTTTGTTTCAGGTGCCACTGTCCGCCGGAGCTTTTCCTTTCCCAGCGGACAGTGGCACCAGAAACACAGAGATGCTTCGATCATGGCACACGTCTGAATGATGCATGCACTTTCTTGTGCGCGACGTGCTTCTGCTCCTACGAGAAGGCACCACTGCCCCGGGACTACAACAGGCGTTCTGGGCATTCCAGCCGTCGACAAAGTTGAAACAATTGGCTGGAGGATCAACTCACGCAGAGCTCTGCTGCCACTTTGTCTCCAGGTTATGGCGTAATGCAGGCGCGGCGCATCTTTGCTCCCTCGCATGCACGTAGCTCACACTCTCTAGGCCAGTCGCAGTAAGTGAAGAGAAACTACAGACAGGATAAGATCACATTCTACAGGGATCATGAGTATTGGTGGGGCCTCAAGAAAGCTTCCTCGCTGGCTGCTGCTTCCACCAGACTCTGCCCACGACCCATGTACCTTGGGCTTCATATTTTGTCTACAACTGCCAAAATATTGGCTGCTTCTCGGCTCACCAGCAGTGCAAGGGAGCTTCTTGCATGAATTTTCGGACTGTTTCAGAGCCGGCTTCCTGCTGAATACCGCCATCACGTTCCTGCATGCCTGCCTAGACGCTGTGGCACAACACTAGCGCGCAGCTAGCGGCGAGCTAGCGAAAAGGCGTTTTGTCGTCACTTTACGCGTTAAAGCAGAAAGGAACAGTAGGTGGAAGACCATCCTTTAAGTCTGTTTCGAATCCGTTTTCTGGAAGCGGAATCTCATCAGTTCAGGAGGACTTTTATGTGCGGAAAATGTGATGCTTAGGTGCTCTAATTCAGGTTATCTGCTCATAGCATAGAAAAGCATACTACTGAGCCAGACCCTGTCCCCGACACATACCGGCTGCGTGACTTTTGGACTCTGCATATGCGTTTTGTTGACTCTTTGCAAGTTCAGTGTGATTGTGCTAGTCGTCTCAGTGCTGCTGAAACTACTCCGTCATGCAACAGGGGGGGCCAAAGCACTGGAAATGACAAGGCGAAGGCCTGCAGCTTTGAGAGAGTTCTTGTCATTCATAACCTCGAACAGAAGGAGCTCGCTGAAGGAGTGACTAGTCGTATTTGAGACCAAGAGCGAAAAGGGGGCACTTCTATTCTCGCTCGTTCGGCAGAATGTAAGTCCGAAGCCTTTGTTCCAGTAGACGATAAACGCTTTGAGTTGGTCTGTCGCTCAGAATTGATATGTGGCACTGCCGCACTGCCTGCCGCTATACCCTGTAACCTTCGTGGTCTTTAAGTTAGATGAATTTTCAAAGGTGGTGGCTTGTGGCATTTGGATGGCAGGTTTTACACCCTCCGTGCCAATGGTGTAGCCGACATCGGTAGGCTCCTGCTCAGCATATCTCCACTTCCAGAACCTAGGATAGAATTGGTGCTTAAGAACGATGCTGAGAATTTATCGGAGAACTTCAGTTTGAGTAAGCACGCTGGAACTGTGAATCAACCCTTCGTCAAGTTACGCTCTATCTCCTTGTCACAACGTAGATTCGAGACATGCATTTAATTTAGCATGGAGGGTTGCCACCTTGGCCTTGATGCCTAAGGGTGTAGTCGTGGACTCCAGTTAATTGCACAACTGTTCACAAAACAGTCTTCCACCCAACGATCTTGGTCTCTCAAATCTGGTAGAATCCTGACTTAGGAACGAGCTTAAACAAACGACTAGCACCTCTCAGCTCCTTCAAATTAGCTTACCTGGGGGTCATAGACAGCTCATGTTCAGTCGAAAGCGCACCTAATGCTTGACAAAGTATCATCATGCGCAATTTTCCGCTCGCCCAAGCCATCATCGTAAGTGTCACACATGATGATCTTGGCCCAGATAAGAGAAGAGGCCAAGCTAACCACTACATTAAGTAGCAGCTCTGTTATTTCCTGATTGTGCAAATACCGCAGGTCCTATGGCATCTCGCACACGGCGGCCTTGTTAGATAGCTGGCCCGGTGCTACTAGGACATGGTGATCGTCTGTGTTCTTAAAAACATCAAATGCATCTGGGGTTACGTCTGGGTATTGTCTTATCGTAGCCACTAGTCAAATTGAGTATAATTGGGAGTGGCAGTACTCCGCGACAAGTAATTAACGTCTGTTCCCCATCGCGGGGAGGTTCGTAGCAAATTTCCAATTTGTGCAGTAAGCTTACGGATGTGATGCTTGGCGGCGGCTCATAGCAGGGTTTTGTTTTAGCCTGCCATATACGTGGATGGTCGCTTACTTATCCAAGGTCGGCAAAGCATGTACCGGTAGTCCTCGCTTTAGAGACGAAGTGTTTTCCTGCTCCTGAAGCAGTAGCTCCTTGATAGGCACAGTGTAGCTGCTTCTGTCGTCGTTCCCCTGGGCACTTGTTGTGCTAACATGCCATGCGGTTGCTCTGCAGGGTTGCTCTGCCAGGGTTCGGATTTGCGCCTTCTGATGCTGCTCCTCTTGCCCGTTCGTTTTGTTTTCTCTTTCTGTTGGAAGCTCACATCGCCGGCCAATGACGAATTTTGTAGTTTATCAAACTGGAGGTACTGAGCAACCTTCTGCCCGGTCAGTCGCCTTAGCCCTAGGAAAATCCCCTATAGTACAGGTGGCATTAGAGAACTGCCCCACACTCATTTGCTTCCGCACTATATAGTGAACCCCGAGAACCAAGGGGCCAATATGCAACTGCGGTCTTT